GTCATAGTTCAATCCAGTCATAGCAATCGTCATCGCTCTGGAGAAAGAACTAGGACTAATTTTCAATCCCATTGGCAGCCTAGTCATTTGGTACTGCCCTCGATCTGTCGTGAATGCTGTACAATGTCGGCTCTTTGCTTCTAGCCCTATTTGGTAGTACGATTGAGACAAATCAAGGTGAGAAAAATAAACCGCCCCAGAGAGAGAGTCCAAAATATCAGTTATACAGGGTAGAGGGAATTTATCGTCCTCGATCCTCTTATTTAGCTGCCTGTAGTCGATAACTACACGCCACTTTTTATTGCCATTACTATCAGCCTTTTTCGGAACGATTAGTAATGGTGCTGACCATTCTGATCTGGCTTCCTCGATAATACCGTCTTGAAGCATTTTTTGAACCTGTTTATGAACTTCTGCCTTTTGTGCATGTGGTAAACGGTAAGGCTTTATATATGCCGGTGTGGCTGATTTTTGGAGTGTTATAGCTTGTTCATAAATATTTGTTACAGTAAGCGGATCTTCCTCTAAGTGAAAAACATCTGCGTATTTTGCACAAACTCTCTGTAATGAATAATTTTCTTCTTGGTTCAAATGATTTGTATTTATTAATTTGAAAATTTTATCTAACCTATCAACCGATATCGCATTATCACTGAATTCGCAGGTTTCAAAATTATTTAAGTTACTGGTTTTTGGTTTGAAATTTTTTAGCTTCACATCTTCACTACGAGTATTAAGTATTCTAACAGGTATCATATTACTAATTGGTTTGGTCATAATTGCAGCGACAAAAACGCCTTCACAAAGTTCATCAGGTAAAACTAAACATTCCTCGTTCTCGTCTACCCAGCAATATTTGATTACCTCACAGCGAGCTGGTATCGTTGTGTAAAAATCGTACTTGCATTCTATAGGTAGAGAAATCTGAGTATCGTTCACAAAAAAAGAAAATATAAATTTTTCATAATCGATAATTGCCTGGAATTTATAAAAAAAATCTGCCCCAATGACCCCGTGAATGCCGTTCTCAAACGCATCCATCAGCAAAAACTTGTGCACTATATCTGCATTATTAAATTTCAATGTAATATTTGCTGAACCTTGTGAAATTGTTGACCCTGAAATCCCATTTATTTTGACCCGGTTTGAAATATCAACAATTTCATGTGTTGAAATAAATTTTTTGAAAATGACGCTGACTGACGCCCCAGAATCTAGTAAGAAAAATAATTGTTCATCGTTATAAGTAAATTTAACGTAATTTAAGCCATTTAAATTTAATATGATTGCAGAATCATTACTAATTTGTTCCTGATGGGCCACGAAAAAATGTTGAAGTACTATTTACGATATCAGTGTTTTCTTGGTCATTTTGCATGTAAAAAGTTCGTTGGGAATAATTATTGTTGTTATTCCTATTTTGAGAATTGTATCTATTGAAACTTCCCCTATTAATGCCATTGTTTCGTTGAGAAGATTGTCTCGAATTAAAACCTCCCCTATTTGGATTTTTAGTAGATGATCCCCGGCTGTTGTAGGAATTTTTATTAAAATGGTTGTTGAAGGAGCCACGGTTGTGAGGGTTTCTATTGTAATTGTTAAAAGTGCCCCTGTAATTTCCACGGCCGTGCCCGCGAAAATGAAAAATTTTATTTTGATTTGGTAGCTCCTCATCTTTGGCGCCGCGTATTGCCTCATTTAATGTCGAGTAATTTCTAGCCTTGATAATAGTTCGCAATTCGGGATTTTGCAGGCCGTTGGCAAAAGTGTTAATGGCAATTTTTTCATTAACATTTCTCAAAATTCCGACTGCATTGGCGTTACCATCAGCCTGTGTTATGGTTAAATCAACTAACAACTCTTCTACGCTTTTACCAAACTCGTCCAGGGATTTAGAGCCTTGCCTAGCATTGCTCAGCTTTGAAGATAAAGTTGTAGCAGACCTTTTTGTCAAAAAGTGTGTTTTAATATCAGCAATAAGTAATTGGTTATTGTCGTACTCGTCTTTCAATCTAATTTTTGCGCTCTGCGTTAGACGAGTTTTCAAAACGTAGAGAGTTAGTAGTTTTTTACCATCATTGTCTAACAACGAGTCATACAACTCAATGGCATCAACAAGCAACTTCGTCCCATTTTCAGAACCATCCATAGCAGGTAATAAACTAGCAGCGGTGCGTAAATCAAACTTTCCCGCCATGGTTTCTATATTTATTATCTGCTCTGAACTTTCTAACCTATCATCTAAAATCGATTTTATCGTCTCAAAATATTTTACTATGCCATCTACCTGTAGCTTGACTTGTTTTATAGTATCAGCCTCTTGCCTACTAGTATTGAAGTTATCTCTCAAATTTTTAAATTCTAATTCTAATTTATTAATTTTTTCTAACTTACGTCTAATTACACTAACATTTTCTCTTCTTTCCTGGGAGTCTTTGTTTAGATTTCTATAAAATACTTTTAATTCCTCTAATAAGTAACGAAATTCTTTTTCATCCACCATATCATATCCATTTCCATATATCCAATTTAAACTCGATCGGTGCTTTTAGATATTTCCCGTCTAATTTTCCTCTCCAGTTGTTTCTTACATCTTATATAGCAAAGTATGCCTATACCAATAATTGCCAGACCTAAAACAATCAAAACCAAAACGTCCCTAGTTGATGTTACCGCTTGACTTGTAGTATCCGTTATTCCTCCACTATTGCCTGCCTGGGCTATTATGACTTCTTCCTTGACCTCTTTAGTTTTTTGATTTCCCATGGTGTTTGTGCTTTCTAGCCTTTTCGGTTTCCAAATTCCCAATACTTCCCAGCTCTACTTAGTTTTTCCCTTCAACCATACCATTTAGAACCATAATTCGATTGGCAGGATCGCCATGTGATAACCTTGCAGGGTTATCTTGATACTTTTAAATCAAACACAAGGTTTTTACAAAACCCAACTTATGTTTATTAGTTCGAAGACATTAATACAATAGTCAAAAACTATATCCCTCTTTTGACGGCATGTTTATTCTAATTAACCTAGTTATCTTTAAAACTCATCATAAGCAATATTGCCTATTATTAATTATACATATTTATATTTGAATGTTAAACATACAATTGCTACATAATGTATAGGGTGTGAAACCCTATTGTAACTACAGGATGTTACACACTACAATACATATTTATATAGTTAGATACTTAAGGTTTTTACTATTTTCCATAAAATTGTACATTTTTGTAGATACCTAGATCTTAAGTTGCCTCAGATAGTTTAGGTTCTTAATACTTTTTATAATATTTGTACATTTTGTAAATACAAATTTCAAGTCGCCATTACTAAATATTTTTTGTAGAATAATTTCTAGCAATATCTAGAAGTATTTGACTCTATAAGTCAAAACTTTAAGCTCTATAAGCTGTCTATAATTTATGTATAACTTTCTAAGTTATATAAAATAATAACTTGATTCTATAAATCAAGCCTTTAAGCTCTATAAGCTATCAATAATTTATGTATAACTTATTAAGTTATATAAAATAATAACTTGGCTCTATAAGTCAAGCCTTTAAGCTCTATAAGCTACCCATGTCAAATTTTTAAGCTCTATAAGCTACCCATAATCTATGTACCTATAATGTAACTTTCTTAGTTTCATAAAATATGTAATAACTTGACTCTATAAGTCAAATTTTTGAGGCTCTATAAGCCATTTAATAAGTGCTATATCGCTTAATTATTTTGTGCAACGATGCACATATATTTTACTCTCGTTTAATTTAAGTTTACAATGTTGTAGTATTTGTAATAATTTTAAGAATCTTTCTTGGCCGCGAGCATGTTGGAAACAATATTCCAACAGTAAATTTAAAATTCAAATTTTAATTTTCCCGGTATGCACCGGAAGTGTGTGCGTATGTGTCAAACAGTGTCAAAAATTACTTGTCAAAGTTTTTGGTAAAGTGGCTTCCGGCATCTACGCGAGTGAACCAACGGGAACAGTCAGTGTCGAATCGAACCTCACCGAGCGCACCAGATAATTCTGGGCAGGTCCTATATGACCATTTTTACAGACTCTATAAGTCTAAAAATGTAAACAAAAACGAGAAAATGCAAATTGTAAATAGTGTAAATAGTCGTGTGTGTAAATAAATGTAAATATATAAATAATACAGTCCACTCTCATTATTTTAAAGAATCCAACACTTATTTCATTTCTAAATCCTACGTTAAATTCTGAACATATTTCATGTATCATGTCCTATAAACATCTTCAACTATTTCGGAAATATTGACAGTTGAAAATTGACTTTTTTACAACTTTGACAGGCTGTACAACCCAAACGGTTAATTTTAGGGAAAAACCGATTTTACATTCTTATCTTGGATTTTTATAAACTATCATTAGATACCAACTTTGAATTTAATCCATGATTAAAAATTCCAATAAAATTTAGTCTCCAGTTAAATTCAAAGTTGGTGTCAAATGATAGTTTATGGAAAACTAAGATAAGAATGTATAATCGGTTTTGCTCTAAAATTAACCGTTTAGGTTCTACAGCCTGTCTAAGTTGCAAAAAAGTCAATTTTCAACTGTCAATATTTCCGAAACAGTTGAAGATAGGTATAGGACATGATACATGAAATCGGTTCAGAATTTAACGTAGAATTTGAAAATGAAATAAAAAATTGATGTTTTCATTTAAAGAAATAAAGTTAGCTGTCATAACTTGTTTTTGAGTCACCCTGTATATATGGTATTATCATCAAAAAAACTACCACTAAAATTAGTAATTGACGTGTCCGAGGTTTTTTAAAAAATATCCAGTTCGGTTTCAGATACGATAGTTTTCGGACCTGTGCTCTTACCGACCTTGGTTTTTAGTGCGTTTGCAGCATTCCTTAAATATTTGGTATTTATTGAAGGATATTTTCTGTGAGTTGTATCTTTTCCTATTACTATATTTTATTTGATAATTTAATTGCTCTCCGTTCATGTCTTAATCATGGCGGGGGGCAATAATCATAAAGAGGGTAAACCACCCCCTGATAAAAATAATATTAAAGTAGTCGATCTCACATACAATGATATGATGATAAATGAAGATGAGTCCATAGAAAATAATATTAATTCTCAAACTCAACATGATAAACAGATTTCAGATAGATTAAATAGAATTGATTTGAAAAATAGATATAAAACAAATAGTAACGGTCCATTTTCAGTTTTTGTGGAGCATAAATATTTAAATTTTGGTAGATTGCATCCTCTCAAAATTGGTGAAAAATTATTCAATCTGAATGGCGATGAAAATGATATTGATTTCTTGCACACAGTTGGTCGAAATAGGGTCCAGATTATGTGTAAATCCGCTATAGGTGCCAACAAAATAGTTGAAAATCAGGTATTTGAAAGTAACAATCTTATTGCATATATTCCCTCTCATCTTACTCAAAAAAAAGGCCTTATCCGTAATGTTGATACATCTTTCTCAGAGGAAGAAATTTTGAAAATTTTGAAGTCGTCAGTTCCAATTAAGGCAGTGCAGAGGAGATTTAAATTTGTTCTCGATAAGGATGGCAATAAAGTAAAAGTTCCTAGACAGCAGATTATTGTAACTTTCGATAATTTAGTCCTGCCACAATTTGTTTATATGTACCGATTGAGATACGAAGTTGATACTTGGTACTCCCCGGTCACTCAATGTTATAATTGTTTAAATTTTGGTCACACTGCTTCCCAGTGTAAAAGCAAAAAACGATGCAAAACCTGTTCTAAAATATTAAATGACGAGGGACTGTGTACTGATTGTGAGACTTTTTGTGTTCATTGTAAAGATAATTCTCATATTTCTACTAGTAAAAAATGTCCTAAATATAACAATCAGGTTAAAATTAAGCAGGCGATGGCAAATCTTAATGTATCCTTTAAAGAAGCCGAAAAAATTGTAGATAACCCATCTTATGCAAGCCTCGTTTCGAAAAATAAATTTGCTCCATTGTCTTCAAAAACTGATTTTCCTGAATTACCACCGAACTATAGAAATCAATCTAATCCCCCAAATTCAAAAACGACATTTGTAGCTCATCCACATTCCAGCAAGTCTACTCCCTCTTCCAGTGTATATGAAAATTATAAAAAACGGAAAGTCAGTGATAGAAGTCCTTCTTTTGAACCCGTTAACAGAGAATTTGATTGGTCCTATACAGGTGCACCTTGGATTGAGTCTCATCAGATAAACACTAAAAATACTTTTGAAGGTCTAAAGGATAAAATAATTGAAGATTTAACTTGTCAAATAAATAATTCAATCAGGGGTGTGAAATCTCCTGATGTATCAAATATAATAGAAAATATAGGCTATATAATCAATAATACCCTCAAAAATATCTTTCAACAATGGCAGCCTTCACACAACAACTAACTGTAATTCACTGGAATGCTAGATCTGCGTATTCAAACCATAATTTGTTAAAAAACTTATTACAAGATACTAATTTTGATATTGCCCTTTTAAGTGAAACTTGGTATAAACCAGAGTACAAAATTAGTCTTAAAGGTTTTAATATTATAAGAAAAGATAGAATTAATGGTAAAGGCGGTGTGGCTATACTAATTAAAAAATCAATTTCCTTTTCTAATATCAAATTCCCATAGTTCGATAATATCAATATTGAACTATGTGGTATAGACATATCTATCCATAATACGTTCATATCTGTTGTGTCTATTTATAGACCACCAAATGTGGCAATAAGTGTTTCGGACTACTGTAAAATTTTTTCTTCTGTAAAGTCCTTTTCTATAATTGGGGGTGATTTCAACGCCCACAATACTTTATGGGGTTGTAATATTAATGATGCACCGGGGAACACAATAATAAATGCATTAGACAATTTTCCCAATTTACTAATAAGGAATGAAGGGGAGCATACCAGAATAGGAGCCACAAGTAGTTCCGCTTTAGACATAACTATTATTTCCTCAAACATCAGTAATATCTCGTCTTGGGAAGTTTTACAAGATTCCTATGGCTCAGATCATTTTCCTGTTAAATTGACATTGAATAATAAAAGTAATCTTGCGCCGTCACATAATTTAGTTGGGTGGAAACTCAAAAATGCCAACTGGGTTTCCTTTGGTCAATGCATAGAGGACAAAATTAGTAACCTTAGGGAAGTACCGGACAAGGCAAATGAAATTATTTCAATATTAATCAATGTTATTGGTGAAACTGCCGACCAACTTTTTCCTAAAAGAGTTTTTCAAAATAAAAAACCCTTTGTACCATGGTGGGACGAGGAATGCCAAATTTTATCCAACAGTCGGAAAGAAATGTTTAAAAAATTTCGTAATAATTCCAATCTCCAAAACTACATTCAGTGTAATAATTTAACAGCTAAGTGTAAGCTTACCTATAAAAGAAAATCCAAACAAAGTTGGGCTAATTTTTGTAGTAGTTTGAACGCCCAGAGCCCTCCTTCCAAAATTTGGAATAGAGTTAATTTGATAAAGGGTGGTTTAAATACACATATAAACAACACAATTTCCCAGGAATCAGTCAATATTTTGTTGAATAAAATAGCACCTGATTTTGTGTCACGCGATATTCCACCAATGAATGCGTCAAGCGATCATTTTTTATCACGACCTATTTCTATATCAGAATTCATCAATAATGTCAGAAAACATAAAGACACTAGTCCAGGTACGGACGGAATCACTTATAGTATGTTAGAGCATTTACCCCTCCCTGCTATGCAGTTGTTAATAGACGCATTCAATAAAATTATGTGTAGAGGTGATGATATTTCGAAAATCAAAAATGCACTGGTGGTACCAATATGCAAACCAGGTAAAACTGACGAGTTTAGGCCAATTTCGCTCACATCATGTATGTTAAAAACTCTGGAAAGAATAATCAAATATCGTTTAGAATGGTGGTGCGAATCTAAAAAACTACTTCCTTCCCATCAGTTCGGATTTAGGCGAGGTAGCGGCGTAAATGATTGTCTGGCACATTTAGTTACTGATGTACAGAACACATTTTCTGATAATGATTATTTGGCGGCTATATTTTTGGATATATCCAGTGCATATGAAAATGTCAATCTTGAAATCCTTATAGATAAACTAGTACAATTTGATGTGCCTAGAGCAAATGCTAATAATATAGTGAGATTATATATCAATCGAGGCGTATCCATTAGAATAGGTAATGATACTAGCGAAACCAGAATTGTCTCATCTGGCATCCCCCAAGGTTCAGTATTAAGCCCATTACTTTTTAATATGTACACAACGGATTTTCATTCAATGGGGTTAAATGCTTCTCAGTTACAATACGCTGATGATTTTTGTATCTATACCAAGCAAAAAAGCATGCATGCATGCTTAACCAACCTAAAACATATTATGTATGTTTGCAATCAATATTTTCTCAGCAATGGCTTCAATATTTCAAATAAAAAATCAGCAATGATGGTTTTTACTAGGCATCGTTTACAGAAAACATCAACAATTACACTTAACAACTGTGTTATCCCATGGGTTGAAACATTTAAGTATTTGGGAGTTTTGTTGGATCAAAAATTGGCTTGGAAAGAACATATTACCTATATAACTGAGAAGGCCGAAAAAAGTCTTAATATTATGAGAGCAGTAATATCTAGGTCATGGGGATCCGATCCCCAAGTTTGCTTAATGTTATATAAAGCGTTTACAAGATCAATTTTGGATATTGGCGCTATGTTTTATGGTTCTGCTTGCAAATCCCGACTTGTTAAAGTCGATAGGCTGCAATACAAAGCTCTAAGACTTGTAACAGGTGCTTTTAGCTCTACCCCAATCCAGGCTCTACTTTCTGAATGTAATGAAGTTCCATTAGAAATAAGACGAAAAATTCTAGCAGAAAAATTTATTCTTAAAAATGTTCAATACGTACATAACTCGTTGCTTAATAAAATTTCTATCTTGAATATTTCTAATCTAACTCAGTCATACTGGAGAAATAAGAAAAGTCCTGTTTTAGCGGATGCATTTGTAAATACATCAGAATTTCATAACATTATAACAAAACAAGACAAATATATACTATTTCATTTTCCATCTGATTTGATATATCTCAAACCTGAAATTCTATTTCCGAATTTTTCGGAGTTGCCCTCAGTAAATTCTATCCATTTAAGGGAAGTCTTAAGCAAGAATGAAAATTATCTTCAAATATATACCGATGGGGCTAAAAATAGTTCAGGAGTAGGATGTGCAATTGCTATACCTGAATTGAATTATGTTAAAAAATACAAATGTGAAAATAATGCATCTATCTTCACTGCCGAAGCACTAGCAATATTGAAAGCATTAGATCATATATTGTCAAAGGGAAATATTTTCAAAGCTATTGTTCTCTCTGATTCTCAGTCAGTTTTGAAGTCTCTCAAAAATGCGATGAATTGTAAGAATCTTATTATAGCCAAAGTATTGGAGGTATTCTCTGTTTTGTGCTCTAAAAATATTTCTGTCAAGTTTGTCTGGGTTAAGGGACATACAGGTCTCAAAGGCAACGAATTGGTTGACAATGCAGCAAGAGAGGCGATCGTATCAGAAGAGATCCTGGAAATTACTCCATATTCGGACTTTTTCGAAATAATCAAAAAAAGATCTTGGGAAGTTTGGCGCAGTAATTATATTGCAATGGCAGTTAACTCCCCTAATTTGTATAACTCCTTTTATCCTAGATTGAATAAAAAGCCACTAATGGAACGTTTTAAATTCTCCAGAAATGTGTTTGTTTCCTATTTCAGATTTTTAGTTGGGCATGGAAATTTTAATAAACACATGTATAAGCTTAAGTTATGCGAGAACACGCGATGCTTTTGTGATAACCAATCTGAAGATGATTTGAATCATAGATTATTTAGTTGTAGACACAATGAATTGGCAACTTCATTCTTAAGAAGAGAATTGGAAAAACTCCATCTCATACCTATGAACCACAAGGGTTTAATTAAGCTTATTTTATCAGATGATAACTTGGAAAATATATTTATTAATTACTTAAAATTATGTAAAGTCCTTATTTGAAAGATAATTAGAGATTGTTTCGATTCCTATGTTTTTTTTCCTTATATGTTACATCCTTCCTAACCGGGTCCACCTGTGTTTTGTTAAAGTTTAAAAATGTCCTGCATAGACCCCAGGACGAGAAGCGTGTGTCCATGTGTTTATCCTTTTTGCTAGATTCCTTCCTTTTTTTTTTTTATCTGTATATCGTTGGGTGAATGGTTAGCTAAAGTTTGAACTTTTGAATTATGTTTTCGTGGCTAAGTGAGCTATGCTCAAAGCCAAAAAAAAAAAAAAAAAAAAAAAAAAAAAAAAAAAAAAAAAAAAAAAAATATCCACCCTGTATATTTTATAGATTTTATTCCAACCTTTACGTGCTCACTGTATAGCAGGGTTGTCCAGAAAAAAACCGGAATTTGGTTTTCGTATAATAACTTTTTTATTTATGCGCTGATTTTATTGATTTTAGTCTCATTTGAGAGGGAATTGATCAAGACAGATCGTTCACCTTATATTTTTAATAATTTTTGAAAAAACAAAATGGCGGACATAGCTAGATTTGGTCAAACTTTAAAATCTGCTGGAACTTTTTTGAGTCGCACTATATATTTTAACGAGTGAGATTCTGAAAGCTTCAACATTTCTGAAGAAAATGAGAGGTCAGTCATATAAATCCGTGAAAAAATAGCTGACGTATGACAGGATAACAGGATATCTGGATTCCCATTTTCTTTCGTTATTCTCCAAAATCAAGTTGACGTTTCGCACGGATCGCTTGTTTTATTGCTGATCGTCGCTATTTGAAATTTCTGACAGCTGTCAAATGCTACCTTCTAATGATGAAAATCACTAGATTTAGATTTTGCTTTTCAAATTGTTAAAAATGGTGCTTTCTCATGACGATAGAGTTTTTATCAAAACTTTAATTTTGAGAGGATACAGAGTGAGTGAAATTTTACAACAATTTCCTGCAGTGCGGTATAAAAAAAGCACAATTTACGATTTCGTCAAAAAATTCTATATAACGCAATCCATCGCAAGACGCGATGGAAGTGGGCGCCCAAGGAGTCTAAGAGCACAGGTAGGTATTGTCATTTTATGTCTTATGATTCGCCTAAAGTTATTTTAGGAAAATATTCTCCAAGTTTCGAACTTAGCAGTCAGCCTTGAAAGAGCGCCTGGGACCAGCTTAAGTGTT